TGCTTCCAATTGTCATCATTCAAAATTTCCCTGTGACGGAAATCATATTGTTATTATTATTATTAAATAAGTAGATATAACTACCACATTTTTCAAATATATACAAAAAATTATTTTTGAAATACTTTTTTATTTTTTTATATATAAATATTAATTAAAATTTTGAAATTGAAAAACTCAACATTCTTAATGATTTCTCTGTTTTACAATATGCTGCATTTGAATATTAAAATAATAAATTAGAAATTTTTAAAACTAATTATTTATAACTTCGTTTTTAAGAAAAAGGGTATCGATTTCATCCTCTAAAACCCCTTTAATTACTGTCTCTGCATCGTGACATTGCATGAGCGGTGGGGTAGTTGAAACCCGTCTCCATTTGTTTATTTCCAAGCTCAGTTTTGTTCAGCTCTCTCTCTCTCTCTCTCTATCCAGCTGTTTCTCTCTCATTTATAATCTCTTCGGCGTGTGTCTGTGTTGGCTGGTTTGACGTGAAAGCACGGCGACAGGAACAGGCGGAGGGGATTGATAACGCCTACAGCCTACAACGGCTCTGTTTCTTATGAACTCCAAACACCTATTTGCTGATTAATAATCAAGTCTCGTCGAGTGCAGTAAGCTCGTACTCTTTTCAGATATCTTCCTCGAACACTCTCGTGTACCCCCGTCACTCTAGCGTCTGAATGCTTTGCTCGTTGATTCTGACTTTGGGTTTCGATTTTCAGGCTCTGCCGTTCGATTCGGTGATTCGGAAGGTGATCAAGCTGAAATTTGAGGTTTGCAGGGGAAGGTTATCCAGTTTCTTGACTTGGTTACTTTGGTTAATGACTGAGAGGTGAAATTTTGCGCTACTTGAGTTTGATTTTCGATCTGCAAATCTGCTCACATGGCTTTCTTGTTCGGTTCTATCTGATTTGAGAGACTGTAAAGGATCTCTCCAGCACTGAGGTCAACTGTAGTATGTGTCATCTTGGACGTAACTGATGTGGCTGTCAGTGATTTGATGCTTACCCACCTGCTTCAGCTTCAGCTTCAGCTTCAGCTTCCGCTCTATCGTCGCCTTTTGGATTCTTCTCAACCCCTGATTCTGTAAATACTGTTACCTGGTACACATGGAATGCGTCCTTCGCCTAAAATTTTCCACCTTAAATCAATGGGTAAAGACAAGTTCAAATCGAATAAAGTACTTTCTGCTCGGAAAACTAGAAGAAAGCGTTTATTCATTTGAACTGTTTTACAAATTGGATTTTGGTTATAACTGTCTTGTCATTTCATTTCCAGTGACGATGGCCTTGGCTGTAGATTAAAGCGGGCTAGAAGGCTGTACATATGCGAGATATAAGGTTTGGGGGGGTTTGGCGAAGAGTAGGCAATAATGCAAGTAATGTCTTCTTCTTGTCGTTTCCTACAGGAACGAATGCTTTTCTGGCCTGTGTGGGGCTGTGTTGGTCCGAAACCATGACAGAGCATGTGATTAGTTTGGAGGAGTGGATCTGCTGAGAAAGGAGGTGGATAACGTTCCGATGAATCGCGAAGTGAAGAGAGGGAAGCAGGAGAAGGACTCGGATGCGGCTGAAAACGTCGTCGTCGCCGTCAAGGCGTCGAAGGAGATCCCCAAGACCGCTCTGGTCTGGGCTTTGACTCACGTGGTTCAGCCTGGGGATTGCATTACGCTCCTAGTCGTCGTCGCTTCTCAAAGTTCGGGTACCTTTTGATTTTTTTAGTTCATTTTCCTCTTCATGCCTAGGTTTTGCTTTTATTTCTTTCCTTTCCTTTCCTTTCCTTTGCTTTTTTCTCTTTTCTTTTTGTCTGTGTTCTGTGAGTGTAGGTTGAACTTTTCTGATAATGCCAAATACCTATTCTGTGCTTGGTTTAGTTTTTTGAAATTATTTCCTGTTTGGATTTGATTTGGAAAACTGTTGTGTTTTTGAAAACATAAGACCGTTAGGCAGGGTATTTTTGGAAACGGTTTTCCGGATTAGAAGATTAAAGTGGTTTTCAGAATTTTGGGGGCATATTGCGCTTAAAAATGAAAATTATATGGAAATGGGAGATTTTTCAACATTCAGTGTTTCGTGTTTCTGAAAACACAAAATAAATAGTGAAAACAAAAACAGAATACAAATGCAAACAGTAAGCTCCTTCAATTTTTTGTTGGGGGAATGAATCTTCTGCAAGAATCGAACTTCTAATCTTGGAATTGATTTCATCACATGGGTTGATGATGTTGACGGCATAATTTTGTCGTTGTTTCATGTGTTAAGATCGCATGCAACTAATTCTGTGACATACGCTTCAATTATAAGAAAGTTCTTGCAGATCTCGTGCATTTAATTTGGTTTTCTCTTTCACGCTGGGTCATTTTTCCCATTCTCATCTTATGTCTTGCCGTCAACTATTAACCTGTTATGAATGTGAAGTGTGCTTTCCTTGATAATTGTCCTGCCTTTCCTTTGCGGTTTGATGAAGGCTAGAGTTCTGTTAAAGCTTGCATTAGTTAACAGCATATAATTTCTTATGTTATGTCTTTTCAAGCACAAGGAAATAGAATTCTTTCTATATATTACCTGTCTATTCTGTCTTTCCATTTATAATATGAGAGGGGGAAGATTTTAGAGTTTAACATGCAATCAGTTGTCTGAAACAGACCGCAGTGATCAATTATTCAGAAGACTGATGGATATTGTGATATTGCTTATAGTTGTTTACATTTTCCTCATTACTTAGGTAGGAAATTGTGGAGTTTCCCGAGATTTGCTGGAGACTGTGCGAGTAGCCACCGTAAGTTTCATTCAGGGACTAGTTTAGAGCAGAAATCTGATATTACTGATTCCTGCTCTCAGATGATCCTCCAGCTCCATGATGTTTATGATCCCAATAAGGTCAGTCACTCTAACTATGTTTTGATTTTCATATTCTTACATACCCACTGCTAACATGTTTTACAGATAAATGTGAAGATCAAAATTGTTTCTGGTTCACCATGCGGAGCAGTGGCTGCAGAGGCCAAGAGAGCTCAAGCTAGTTGGGTTATATTGGACAAGTAATAATCAAAAATTGAGTCATACAACAGATATACATGCACATCTATTTGTATTTACAGTCTTTTCTGTAATTTCTGTTTTCAGTTTTGATTTTTTTGTGTGCTCGGAAACAGAAGCCACTTGTTTTCATATCATTGTCTTTTCCAAGAGAGAATAGATTATGAGAATTCTTAAAACAGCTTTTTGAAGAGGTGCCTATTTCTGAAAATTTTCCCAGAAACAATTTTTTAAAGCTTCTTACAAAATAGTTCTTTTTATTTTTGGAAATAGAAAAAAGTTTTCATAAACAAAATCCAGACAAGCAGCCTCATTAAGTTATATTAGTTCTGAATTCCCATAATTTCTTTTCTGCCCTTGGTGAATAATTAGCTCTAATTTGTTGGTCTTGGATTCGACATTCATTTTCGTTTATGTTCCCTAAGAGATCCCTATTTTCATTTGATTCAGACAGCTAAAGCATGAAGAAAAACGCTGTATGGAGAGCTACAGTGCAACATTGTGGTTATGAAGCACTCCCAACCTAAGGTTCTACGACTGAACTTAGTTAGATCATCTAAGAAGGAAGCTGAAGCTGAGGCGGAAGCTTTGCATCCATTACCTCAAGTTGATCAATCATTTGAGAAACGGTCCCAGAAACAATAACCCCATTCGAGGTCCTGTTGTGACTCCATCTAGTAGTCCGGAGCTGTATACCACAACTGATGCTGGAACTTCATCGGTCTCAAGTTCCGATCCTGGGACCTCCCCCTTTTTTATCTCTGAAATTGGTGGGGAACATTAAGAAAGAGGAATCATTACACCCAAAGGAAGCTCCTGATATTGATGAATCAAGTTCAGATACAGACAGTGGAAACTTGTCTCCATCTCCATCAAGTGAAGGTTTCAGCCATGGATAGCAGAATTTTTTCAGTTCTACAGGGCCTCAAACTTCAATGAAGAAGACTTTACTAGAGAAGTTCTCTAAACTTGACCGAGAAGCTGATCTAGACTTCAGTGGCAATCTAAGAGAAGTAATATCACTTTCTAGAAATGCCCCTCCAGGGCCTCCCCCTTTGTGTTCAGTATGTCAACACAAGGCTCCTGCATTTGGAAAACCCCCAAGGTCATTCACCTATGCTGAGCTTGAGATTGCCACAGGAGGATTTTCGCAATCTAATTTTTTGCAAAGGTGTTTTGGATCTGTCCATAGAGGTGTCCTGTCAGATGGTCTTGCAGTTGCTGTCAAGCAACACAAATTGGCAAGTTCCCAGGGGGATCAAGAGTTTGCTCAGAAGTGGAAGTTCTCAGTTGTGCTCAACACCGAAATGTTGTTATGTTAATTGGATTCTGTATTGAGGATGGAGAAGGTTGCTGTTTATGAATATATATGCAACGGCTCGCTGGATCCCGTCTCTATGGTAAATTTTGCCCCTGAAAATATTCATTTCTTCTTATTTTGATCAAACCTTCTGCCTCTAATGTGAATCCTGAGCATATATAATGTCATATGCACTAATTGGTAGAAGTGTTTGCCTTGTTGCATAAGCAGGGTGGATCCTGGAATGTATTCTGGTGGGGCCAGTATATTACTATTACCCACTAATAGTTTTATGACACTAAAATAGTGAAGAAAAACTACAACAATAATAAAAGAGAACAAAATGTATTATTTTATATTTATCGTAAACCAAATGTAATCATAATCATAACGTTCATCTATAGAATAGTCATAAGATAATCAAATAAACTATTAAATTGATATTTCCCAAAATATTTTGCAATGTATATGAAAAAAATAATAACATACTCTTTTCAATGTACCAATAAAAAAAATATTAGTTGTACGAAAATATTATAATGTTCAAGAAGCTTGAAACTTGATCCTATATAAAACATGAAAAAGATTAGATGACCTAGGTGCAAAATTACCTAAAAATAATTATTTTTTTCAAGGGTTCACAAAAGTTTAAAACTTTTATGGGGTCACAAACCAATTTTTAAACCCCCCCCCCCCCCAAAAAAAAAAAAAAAAAACCTCAAAGTCCCTCAAAATATCCACCCTTGGCCACAAGAGCTGAGTCGACCTTTTTTTGTCAGATGAACCGCATTTGAAATTTAAGCAGATAAATTTTTTTTGCTGTTTTGCTTAAAATGGATGCTAGATGAACTGACCAAACTTTCAAGGGGGAGTCCTTCTCTTTTCCAAACTAAGTCCTCTTTCTGGAGTTTATTTTGTTGCTACATGATTCAGGTTTAAGCTCCTTCAAGTAATCTTAATTGACATTTGACAAATATTAGATTTATCTTGAGATTGTAGCTGAACTTGACATGAGTTTTGGGCATTATCAGTCGTTGTCGAGATCCATTAGAATGGTCTGCACGTCAAAAAATTGCTGTTGGAGCTGCCCGAGGGCTGCGATATCTTCATGAGGAATGCAGAGTCGGTTGCATCATCCATCGTGACATGCGGCCTAACAACATCCTCATCACGCATGATTTTGAACCCCTGGTATGAAAGTTGCTTATCCCTTTTGCATACATTTTTCTTTATGTTGATTGGTAATTGGATGGAAAAGTGCCCAAACCTGATGTTATCCATGTGTCTATGATGCATACAAAATAAACTGATATATCTTTATATGGTGGGCTTTCCAATTAATTTTCATGGTTTATTTGTTATCTCTTCCATTTGAGCATTCTTCGAATATCCACAAGTCTTCTCAAGATCTCCATTGTTTTGTTTATTCTTTTTAGTTTTATTTAAAATCTAATTTTGATGGAAAGGTGTTCACTGGTCAGAAACCTTAGACCCTTACACAGCTCAAATACTCTGCTCTCATTACACTAGCTCTTTCTGAATTTGTCAAATTCCTTTTTGTGATCAAATTATTTGGCCTTCAGTACAGTACTCTTTAATTTTTTAAGAAGCGGGGTCATAGTTTTACAAAGGCAAATTTTACATGGATACATTGTGGAAGAAGCTATAGAGATGACAATTTATAATCCCACACAGAAAAAGTACAAGCTGTATTCTGTGATGAGTAATAGCACCCTCTTCATTTTACAGAATAGCTCTCCTCAAACTGTTTCTGGCTCAAATCATTTCCTATTACTCTGCCTTCTTGCTTTAGTTTTTATTGTTTTGATTTGATTATTGTCAATATTCAGATAAGAAATGCCCTAATGGAGGTTTAAATATTGCAATTTGTTTTTTTCAACCTTTTCATTGCTAGGTTGGAGACTTTGGATTGGCCAGATGGCAACCTGATGGAGACATGGGAGTTGAAACAAGGGTAATTGGAACCTTTGGGTATGTCTTGCTTTGAACGTTTAATTTATATATTGATAATTTCCGTGGTGTGACAGAAATCAATGAACTATTATGACTCATTGCAGGTATTTGGCTCCAGAATATGCCCAAACTGCCAGGTCACTGAGAAAGCTGATGTTATTCATTTGGGGTTGTTCTGGTAGAGCTTGTACTGAAGAAAAGCTGTGGACCTTAATCGGCCAAGGGGTCAGCAGTGCCTCACTGAATGGGTAATTTAAGATGATTGCCATTTAAACAATTCTGTCAGACCGTATTTTACTGTTAAATTCAGCAGGCAAATGTCCATTATGATATTTTTTCACAAGTTTCTGCAACTGGCCAAAACAAATAGATGCATATGTCATGACCTAGCAATTAATATATTTTTATTCCCAATCCATTTTTCCTTGTACTTGATATATGCTTTTGTTTATGGATAAGCACGTCCGCTACTGGAAGAATCTGCCATTGATGAACTGGTTGATCCTCGGATAGGAAGCAACTATAAATGAGCAGGAGGTCTATTGCATGTTACATGCTGCCTCCTTGTGCATTCGTCGGGATCCTTCCTCAAGGCCTCGCATGTCTCAG